GACTGCTGCTTTGGTCAATGTGACATTCTCATCGATATCATGCCCACCTTGCTGCTTCTCGACTTGCTCTCTTCCGCGATTGGTTTCTCATTGAATGTGGGGAAATGCTACGTCCTGATCTGCGGGGCGTTGAGTGGAGATGCCCTCGCTGCTCACATGACTCGGAAAGGCAGCCGTTTCGCCTCAGTTCGTTTCGCCACCAGAGTTTTGTACTTCGGATTCTGGGTGGGCCCATCGGCCCATGAGGTGGCCTGGGTGGAAACGATGAATAAGTTCTGGCAGCGAGTTCGTCTTCTTCGCTCTCTCTCGCTGGGCTTGGCGACCACCATCCGCCTGTTCCATTCGAATTGCCTCTCAGTCTTGCAGTATCGGATTCAGCTGGTGAGGGTCGCCCCAGGGGTTCGGCGTCAGTATAGGGAAGCATTGCAGATACTAACAGCGGGACCTCGGCATGCATTGAACTACACTATGCTCACCCAGTTACGTGACCTTGGGGTCTCACTGGAATTCGTGGACCTGGGACTGTACGATAAAGCTACGAAATGTCGGGTGATAATGCGATGCAAGGCATTAGATGTGGCGCTTTATGAGTTAGATGGCTTATCTAGTGGCTTGGCTGATGATGAATTTATTCCTGCCCGTATGCTCTCTGGGTGGTTGTGCCATTCGATGACACGCACGACGAATGAGGATGCTGCGGACCTCGCGAACTCTCCCATTGATCGAACTGCCCGTCTTACCCAGGCCAAGGTCCATAGGCACTTACGGTCGGTTCGTATGGCTGCCACTCCCCTGTTGTGTCTGAGTGTGCGGATATCGAGGTGGTTAGTTGCTGCATCTCTCGAGGATATGTTCCGTCTGCGGACAAGATTGCGCGCAGTGGAGCGTGCCACGTGCACCCATCTGGCTACCAATGTTCTCCGTGCACTGTCCAGGGGCGTTTTTACTTCGGCACGGTTTCATGCGAATGACCGCGGGTGCTGCTTTGGGTGTGTGGCCCCCGATGACCTTCACCATTATCAAATCGGTGATCGATTCCGTGACCTTGCACTGCACCGTCTCCCTGGGTTGGAAGCATTACCCACGCCGCGGAGGGAGATGTGGCAGCACCGAGACCCCTGGCTTACCTGTCTATGTCTGATGGGACCTTCCTGGGGGCTCGACCGCGACGTTGCCTGTGCTGCCTTCATCGATGCATTTCTCAAGACGCACGCCCATCATCGACGCTTGGCACAGGCCCCCTCGTCCCAGGTTTTCGTGGCCCGATTGCGTCTGCTAGCTCGCCGGTATACTGGTGTTGCACGACAGTTCAGGGCACGGCGTATTGCGCGGGCTGCCACGCGCAGGGAGGTCGTCGGAGTGTACCTCGGTATCTCACGGGCGAACGAAGATCGGCCTCCCGTTGTGCACTGGTATCCAGTACATGCGCGGAGAGTAAGAGGGACGCCGAGCAGATCCTTGACGCCGTGCGTGATTTGATTGTGGCACGGCAGTTCTGGGCACAGTGTATTGGGTGGGCTTCCTCGTGAAGTGATGTCGTCTGAGTGTGACCGCCCCCTCTCTCCTCTCGCGCGTGTGCTCTAGTGCTTGTCTCTGTGTTCCCTTGCCTCTCCTGTCGCTTGCTGTCTTCCGTCTCCCTGCCTCTGCCGCTGCCCCTCCCCTGCGGGGTGGGCGTTGTTGGGTCCTCGGTTTTGCCCGCCCCTGCCTTCCCCTCTTTCCCTTGCCTTTCTCCCGGCCCGCCCCCTCGGTCCTCCTGCTGCTTGCTCCCCCGTTCGTGCGCTGGCGCTGCTGGGGTTGGGCCCCCGCCTGGCCGGGGAGCGCGCGCGGGGGCGTGCGCGCAGCCGCCCCGCCGCTCCCTGCCGCCCCCGCCGCCCGCCCCGTCGACGGCCTGATCAACTGTGCCCGTTGCGCGTCTCTGGGAGGTAGGGTGCTTGCCTCTCGATTTTGTCTAGGCGTGTTTCGTGCCTGGGTTGCGGGTCGCGGCGACGGTGGCCTGGGTTGCAAGCGCCCGAGGCTTGCGGGGCATGGACTCTGTCCTCCCCCGTCACCGAGCGCGCCCCCCCGCTGCCGAGGACTCTCGTTCGGGAGGATCGGTAGCGGGCAGTGCTGCCCCGCCCCGCCCCGCGCGCGAGGTACCTCGATACCTCCCACGGGTGGGCGAACATCGGCCACCCGTTGTGCACGGGCATCCAGTACCCTGTCCTTTCTCTCCCCTTCGCTGCCCCTCTGCTGCCGCTGCTCCCCCCTCCTGCACGATATGGATGGCGGCGGGCTTCGCCCGCCGCCGCGCTGCTGCTGCTCACGGCGCACGGACCTGGATGGAATATTGGTGCTCGCCCGCGCGGGGGAAAAAAACATCACCATCACCATCTTCATCATCATCATCATCATCATCATCAGCATCATCATCATCATCACCATCTCCCACTGCCCATCCTCGCCCTTCTCCTCTGGTAGTCAGCATACGTCTGCGCCGCTACCTTCTGGGCACCTCCGCATCCTACCCATGCACCCCTCGTCCTCATCCCCCCCGTCATCCTCATCGTCCTCCCCGTGCCCCCTCGTCCGTTCCATCGGCCTGGCGCCGATGCACACTTCCCCTCATCGCATTGATACGTCTGCCCCCCCCCCCCCCCGTGCCCTTTACGCCACTTGGACATATCCATATGATCCTCCTCTCCTCCTCGGCACCCCCCCCCCCACACCCACCCCCCGCACTCCCTTCGCAAGTGTTGGCGATGTGGCTAAAGCAAGCAGGCCTGCAGCGCCCGAGCGCAGCAACCGCTCTGACTGGAAGGACGGGCGGGCGAAGCAGAACGCGCAGCAACAACCGCGCGGACGCAGCACAGAGAGGGCACACCGCAGCGGAGGGTAGCTCCGCCTCGTCCGCAGCCCGTCCTTGTCCTGCCCCGTGTCCTCGGTTTCCCCTCCCCTCGTTGTTCCTCTTCCCTTTCCCCCCACCTTCGCACCCGCACATTCATCCCCCTCCTCGTATTCCGCCTCCCCGCCCGCCTCCTCCCCTTCCTCCTCATCATCATGCTTGTGTCGACTCCTCCCTCCTTATTGCCCACGTTCTTATTCGTAGTTTGTCTCGTCCGTGAGCGCGAGCTCGATATCATCAGTTTCTGAGTGTACCCAAAGGCGGCCCACGACCACTACTCCTCCTCCTTTTCCTCCTCATCCTCCTTCGTTTCCTTATCCTTTTTTCTCCTCCTTCTCCTCCTCCTCCCCCTCCTTCCCCCATCTTGTCCTCCCTGGCGCTGCAAGACTGCACTTACGCGGCCGCCGCTGCCGCTGCCGCCGATGGTTTAAGTGGAGTCAGTCAAGCTTCATCGTTGGTGTACGTTTCTCCTCCCAATCTTCCCCTCGACCCGCCCCTCGCTGTCCTCAGTCCAACCTCCCACATTCTCCGCCTCCAGGGTACGAAGATGGGCAGAATCGGCGGCCTCCGTTTTGGGGGTACGCTGAACATTGTTGGGGCACGTTGGAAAGTGCTGGATTTACGATAGCGGACTGAAAGTCTTGGGGACATGTTGGACGTTCCAGGGCGCGCAAGGCATCAGTTGCAAAATAGCGCTCGAGCGGTTCCTGCAACGATGGCCAAGTTCATCAGCACGATGGGCACATGCTTGAACAGAGTAAACACTACAACGCTGTGGAGACATCGCATGCTGGTTTTATCGTTGTCCCTGGACTGCCTTGCTGCGATTGCGAGGCAATGCGGCGCGTTAGTGTCGGATCGAGCGTGTGCTTGTTGAGATGCTTTGACCAGGGGAGAAACAGAGAACCCATCGTGGGGACCCACCCCTGAGCAGTGGCACGCTTGAGCGTCGCCTGGTACTGGGTGACGTTTGGGCGTGCCACCGCCCAGGGGTCGCCCCCCCGCCGATGGGTTCTCGGTGGTGGTGGCGGCTTGGATTTCTCCTCTGGAGTGAACGCCCTGGCTGCACGAGAGCTGACGCGCCGAATCTTCCAGTCACAAGTGGAGCGTATGGAAGGCTTGTTGTCGTGGGCGGCCAAGAGGGCGTGAGCCAGGGGGGGAATTCCTGGCGGGGGCCATGAAGTCTCCCCGGATGCCATGGCTCGCTCCCCTTCTTTCGATACGTCTTTTGGCGACCCTGGGCCGCGCGCATGCCTCGGGTCGTGAAATGCGAGCCCACATCTTGGACGCCCCCCTCTTGGATGCCCCGACGTTGGCACGTTTAGCTCTGTGGACATGCGCTGAAAGCATAAAAACTCAGAGATCCGCTCGGATGTCTTGGATCCGCGCTGGACCCTCCCCCCTGGCGCGCGGAGCGTGCCAGGGGCGGCGCCAGAGGCGCCGCCAGGGGATCCAGCGCGGATCCGAGAAATCCGCGCGGACCTCCGAGTTTTTTACGTTGTGTCATTGTTCGTGTCCCTAGTTAAGCTTTCTGGAAATGCGCTGAGGAGGAGGAGGAGGAGGATAAGGAGGATATGGAGGAGGAGGGAGAGAGGAGGAGGAGGAGGAGGAGGAGGAGGAGGAGGAGGAGGAGGAGGAGGTGGAGGAGGAGGAGAGGAGGGGGAGGAGGAGGGGAGGGGGAGGGGAGGAGGAGGAGGGGGAGGGGAGGGGAGGAGCAACTCAGCGGCACACTGCACGTCTCGGAGGGACACGCCGCCAGGAGCAGACCCGGCACGAGGAGCTGCCGCCCCCCCCCCCCCCCCCTCGTCGCAGGGCCCGCCCCGGAAGCCCCGCCAGTCACTGCTGCCGCAGCCGTCGCCTCCGCCGCCGCCGCGCACACCGCCCTCCTCGTCCTTCACACTCCTCATCCCTCTCTCCCCCCACCCCTCCCTCTCCTCCCTCCCCCATCCCTCCCTCCTCATCCTCTTCATACTCCTCATCCCTCTCTCCCCCCATCCCTCCCTCTCCTCCCTCCCCCTCCTCCCCGTCCCTTCCCTCGGCCTCCCTCTCCCCCCACCTCCTCCCTTGTCCGCTTCCTCCTCTCCCTCCTCCGGCGACTTTGGCGTCGCCGCCGCCGCAGGTCCTCCGGCAACCCTGGCGCCGCCGGCTTCGCGTCCCTGCGGTGAAGGGTTTGTGGCGGCGCCCGCAGGTCGCTGCCCAGCAGCGCGGGCCCGGGGAAGAGAGGGAGGAGGAGGAGGAAGAAGAGGACGAGGAAGGAAGGCGGAGGGAGGAGAAGGAAAAATGAGGAGGAGGAGGAGGAGGAGGAGGAGGAGGAGGCGGACGACGACTCCGAGAGTTAGAATGAGAATGCCCAGTGTCGCGCCGCCAGTTCTGGCCCACAACGCTTCGGTGCGTCACGCTCACCAAGTCCCAGCCCCCAGGCGGCAACGTCCCGAGCCTTTCCCAGCCTCCCGCCCCGCGGAGCGGATCGGAGCGACACGCTACCAGTTCGAAGAGCATAGCGTGTCGCCGCATCCGCCACCGCGACGCGCTAAGCAAAAGCCCTGACCGTATTCACAAGCAGTTGACCCCCTTTTCTCATCTCCCCCACCGACACAAGGAGAAGGACGTGGACGGCTACAAACACCAACGACAAGCTTCTCTTGTCATAGACGCAGTCACAAGCGATCGAAACTAAGAGATAATCACCTTTGCATGAGCAGAAGGTCAACCGATCAGCTCGTGCACCAAATTTTGACAAACTTGAACCACGGGAGCCAACGAATGATTTGCCTTGCAACGGGAGCATTGAAGTACACCGAGGCTGCAGAGGTGAGTGTTTTCTCGAGCTTCACAGTCCGCTGCACCTTCTTCTACCAGCAGCCTGGGACGGACCGTATATGAGATAACCGAAAAATGCGATACACAGCAGCATTACTACATGCACAGGATAAGCCTGAATTCTTTTCACGTTGCCGCATGTCGCCTATGCGGAAACTCTGCAGACATGCGGCGGCCCAGGAGCACCTCAAGGAACCATGAGATTCGCCATCACACCCGCCAGAAACCACATGGTTATTGGCATTCCAGCCAAGTCCACGTGAGAGCCGACCTTCCGGCCGCTGGCGCATTCGCGAAGGCTTCCCGACGCCTAGGGAGCCTCGTCCGAGCCAAAAGGTTTGCAGAGAGGAGGGGAGGTGGAGCAGGAGGGAAGTGAGGATAATGAGGAGAAGAGCGAGAAGAGAGGAGCGCAGGAGGGATCGGGATCGGGATCGTGGAGTTCGCCGGACCGTGTCTGCAGTACTCGTTGCTGCTTCTGAGGCGCGGGATAGTTGGTGATCACCGCTTGGGTGATCAGGGAATCTCAAGTGGGAGCCTCGCGTGCGAGCGAATTGCGAGGAAGTCGCCAGCGGGAGCCCCCTCCCTACGAACCCCCCCGCTCCAGGTTACTATTCCGAGGCGGCCATGGGGAATCTTAGAGCACATGGTGTTCCACACTTGCCAGTTTGAGTATCAAGAACATCTGGAGCGGGGGCCTCGTTCATGAGCAAATGTCGGTGATGAATCCAGCGGGGCCTCGTCTGTGAGTGAATTGCGTGGAACTCTCGAGCGGGGCGCCCCACCTGTATTTCCCAACCTGCACGTTCCTACTCGGAGGCGACAGCGGATAATTTCTAAAGACCCCATGGCACGTTGAGATGCTAGAAGTGGTCGAGCGGGCTCTCCTCACTTTATTATAACATACGTCGTACAATGACACCGTTTCGTATGATGTGTTCAGTCGTGTCCTGCTGTCGCCACAAACACGCTATCGAATATCAGATTCCCCGCGCTATGCTTATAATTCATAGAATGTCCCAGTCTGTGTTATAGTGTGATATGGTATGGCCGCGATCAAGGTGTGTCTAGATGTGGTGCTGCCGTGCTCTTGAATGAAATGGCATGTTATCCTTCTCCAGTATAACATAATGGTAGTGCGCGTCCTGATCTGTCAGTTTATGATATAGTATCCCAGAACCGCGCTTCTCATGGTGTGATATATGATATGTTGCCCAGCGCTCGTAAGATACCTTATCCACTGCTCCACGTTGGTAGAATATGCTGATTTGTTTGGTGATAGGTTTTGGTCTATGCTATCAGAGTAGCCGGATAAGCTCCGCTATGATAAGTCCTAAGCGTCTGTTCTACACCCTGCTACAGTATAGCAGGTTCCGCTATGTTGCAGGATGTTTCCTTATAACATGGCACAGTGCGTCATGTATCACGTAGGGTGATTCCCTCATCTAGCTACTTAAAGTTAAAGTTAAAGACGGGGCCTTAAGGCGAAAAAAAAAAGGACCGAGGGGCCTCCAGGGGCCACCAGCGCCACCCGAGACACGCCCTCCCGAGAGGGGCCGCTGAGGGCCGCCTCTCCCCGCGGGGGCCGCCCTGGGCTTCCACCGCGGCCACCAGGGGACGGCTGCCGAACGCATGGCAAGCCGACCCCCCTTGCAGCAGCGCAGAGCAGAACGAAACTACACTACCTGCGCCAGAGTGAACTCGACTGCATTTGCAAATACACAGCGTGCACATTCAAGTACAGGAGGCTTCACTCACGACTCCCAGCATCAAGGTGTGAGGACAGCACAAGCCAGAAGCGATCACTGACCAACCACCTCAAAGCAATCACCGTGATAAATAATCACTACGATCTCCCTTCTGCAACAGTAAGCTCTCAGCGTGGGCTTCGACCTCTGCCCTGTCTCCGAGTGTACGCTCACGCTGCAGAAGCCAATCCTCGGTGCGGCCTTCGGCGAGGTCCAGGAGCGATTCCACTCCCGAGAGAGGCCAGCGGGCCGCAGCAGCCACCGCGGCCAAGCCGAACTCATCGAGGAAAGGGAGGTACTGCTCGGCACTCGCCGCAGCGGCGGCCCGCTCGGAACCAGCGGTGCCCCTCTCCAGCTCCACGGCCGTGCCGCCGCTCAGCACCGCCGCGCCGAAGCGGTCCAGATACTCCAGGACGTGGCTGTCGGGCTCCGAACGGGCGGGGGGGCCAGGGCAGGCCGTGTCCCCGTCCGCGTCGCCGTCGACAGGGCCGTCCACAAGGCCGTCATCGAGGCCGTCGTCGCTGCCTGGGCCCGCCAGGCTCTCCAGAAGCAGCGGCGGCCGCGGCGCTCTCTCGCCTGCAGTACCGCCTTGCACACCATCGAACGCACGGCACGGCGCATGGAGGGCGACCCTGCCGTCCTCCTCCATCGCCGCGCCTGCCTTCCAGGCCCCCTCACGGGGAGGGCCAGGCTCTGCCCTGGCGGCAGGGGCAGCCTGCCCGCCGCCGCACGCACCGTCGCTGCAGACCTCCCATACGCCACGGAAGGACGAGGAGGGCACGCACTGCTCTTGCAGCACCACGCCGTCGCCGCCCCGCGGAGCGCCGGAGGCCGTCCCAGCAAGGCGCCAGCCCGCGTCGAAGCCCTCCTGGAAGGCCCTCGCCCTTGCCACTGGGCCAGCGACCAGCCAAACGCCTGGCGGGGGAGGGAACGCACCGCCGCTCGCCTGGGCGTCAGCCTCCGCCAGGAGCTCCGCTTCAAGATCAGCGACGTGACTGGCATCCGCGCCCACGGCCCGCGGCTCCACCTCCGCTGAGCTCGCCGCTGCGGCCGACCTCGGGCACGGGAGGCGCGGCCCGCGCTGCGCCCTCCTCCAGGCGGCCCGCGGAGCGCCAGGCCGCGGGAGGGCCCGCGCGTGGCACCCCACATTGCGCTCGAGGATGCGCTCCTCCTCCAGCGGCCCGCCGTGCTCCTGGGCGATCAGCACGGGCGCCACAAGCGCCAGGCGGCGCAGGACGCTGGGAGGGGGGCCGATGCCAGGCTCCGCAGCTCCACGAGCTCGGACGCCTGGCGCTCCACCAGGCGCTCGCGCGAGAGGGCTGCCCAGCGCTGTGCGGCCCGCCGCTCGCGCTGAGGCCTCCACGACGCCCCAGACGGCCGCCACGGCCGTCTCCCCGCCGCCATCGCTCCCAAGCCCGCACCCTCCGGCGGCGCCCTCACGGCCATGCGTGCCCAGCACGGGAGACCGAAGGACGGGCCACGGGAAATGGCTTGAGCCAAAATGGCTACGGAGCATTTAGCTGGTTTTTTCAGTATAATATGGTCTGTTGCGCTCTGTAGTGGTACTCCAGTTTTGCTGTGGTAACGAAGACGCGTGGCGGGCGACTCAGGAACCACTGGTGTTCCTTAGGATCGTGCGGCCGCGGAATGTGGGGGCAGGGGGGGTCGAATCGGGAGCACTGTTCCTGACATGTGACCATTTGCCGCTGTTGCTTTCCATAGTTTTCTAAGACGTGTCGGCTCAGTTATGCGAGTGTGTAATAGTTTCTGTTATTTGATGATACGTTTTTTCCTGACCATCTTAAATTGCATTGTGGCTTCAGTGGTTATGATACAGTCGGTTCTCTTACACGATATATCCGAGTAATGTTTGACCTGCTCTGGTCTAGTACGAAGGGTTGGGTGTGTTTGTTATGTTGTGATCGAAGACGCCTACGGCGAATCACCGCCGCCCCCTGCCTTTTTGGAGACGCCGATGTGGCCGAAAGTTGGATTAGAGCTTGGCCAAGCTATCGGACCATGAGTTCCCCGAGTCGGTTTGGAAAGCTTTCGGGGAACACATGGGAGAGAATGATTATGAACAGGAAGAGGAAGAGGAAGAAATAGAGTAGGAGGATGAGGGTTGTTAGGAGTCTCTTGGGGCACCCTTGGGGTCTGTTGGGGGCTTCTTGGGGGCCTCTTCGAGGCCTCTTGGAGGCATCTTGGGGGCCTCCTTGGGCCTCTTGGGGGCCTTTGGGGGCTTCCTGGGGGTCTCTTTGGCCGTCTTAGGGCGTTCCTGGTCCGTCTGACGCCGTCTGGAGCCGTCTTGGGGGCCTCTCTGGGCCGTCTTGGGGCCCTCTTGGGGCGCTTCAGGGCCGTCTTGGAGGCCATGTTGGGCGTCTTGGAGGCCTCTTGGGCCGTCTTGGGGCGCTCTTGGGGCCGTCTTGGGGGGCCCTTGGGCCGTCATAGGGCCTTCTTGGAGGCCTCTTGGGCGATCTTGGGGGCCTCTTGGGCCGTCGGAAGGCCGAAAAGAAGAAAACGCAAAAAACCTTGAAAAACCTAAGGAAAACCAATGATTTTGGCCTCTTCGGGCTCTCCTGGAGAACGTCTTGGAGGCCTCTTGGGCCATCTTGGAGGCATCTTGGGG